GGCAATGGGATAATAACAAAGACAATTTTGTCGGCTTTGAAGATTTGCTGTAATGTCAGGATAAGAGCAAGGTTAAGATCCCAGCTAATCGGTGCAATAATCGCAACTGGGAGAGGCATGTGAACATTTTAATTTTCAACGGCCTGCGGTCTATTCTACTATCGGCAAGTCATTTTGTGGCTCTTATGCGTCTAATTTATCTTCACTGAACATAGGCACTTTGCATCAAAGCCTGAAAAGTAGTTAATCTGTCGTGGTGGATAGCCTCCATCCAACTGCTTTGTATGCAGGTAAATGTAGAAGTCGATTTGGCAGTGGCATGCAAAGCATTCCTCATCATCTTACAACTCAGTCTATCTATATTTAGATGAATCCATGAAACGGCTTTTAAACTGCAGGCTAGGCTACATGCGCCTGACCGTTTTGCGCACGGTTCGGGCCAAGTCAACTCTTGGCGTGTCATTGTTGGCAGTGTCCACCTGAAGCCCCGTATGCTTACAAATCGCTGCACAACCTAGCCTGTTGTCGCTTTTTAAATTTTCTCAGAAATAATCTACGATGTTGGAGTAGATCAGTTTATTCAAAGTCAGACCGAGAATTTTTTACATGAATATTACGGCCAAAGTCCATAAGCCACAGCGGCCAACTGCAAAATATTCATTAACTGCCGACAGGCAGCCAGTAGTGTGTACTTTATAGTAAGTTGATACCATACTAACAGCAAATGTACTAGTCTGTTGTGTCAATCTTTGATCTGTGTGAGTCAGGAAATCAGCGGAGAAGTCGCTACGCAGGGGATAATGTCAGTTTACTGTTTTTCCTGTCAAGGCGAACATTGATCTGGAAGGCCTGACGGCAGACTATGGGGAAAGGTAAACAAGAAAAGGTCTCACTCAGGCAAAGATTCATGGTATAACGTGTGAAATGTCTGCCAGTAGCCGAGACGGCCAGGACGTGGATGCCAGTATCAAAGTCTGTGGCCCTACGTTTACCCGCAGACAAGTCATTCAATAGGCCTAAAATAAACGCCGAGATATTGGATGTCCCCGACAATTAACTGTGCCGTAATTAAATAGTATTTTAAGTCCAACTCATAGAGCTTTAAAGGTGTCTTATTTTTGCGCTGCTGATAATTAATTTTTAAGTTCAAATATGTCTCTTGTCCTACCTTTTTCCGAAACAAAGTTCCTCGCAGTCGGCATTGTGTTTTTTATAGCAAAGATGCCAAAAAAGCCGGCTTTCTTTTCCTATCGCCTCCTCTGGAAACCATATGTTAAACAAACCAGACCTGATGGGTCAGAGGAAATTTTCCATTGTGTCCGTATAACTGTGCCCAGAAATTGCTTTACAGTGCTCAAAATGTCGAGGCTTTAACTTTTACAGAACAAACTTGAAACAACCACAGTAACGCGAAAAACAATAAGCTTCTCATTCACTCGCTCATTGGTTAGTCTAGTAAAATAAAAATAATATTTACCAAAAGCCGTATATTTTCATCTGGTCTCCAATTTTTAATGCGTCGTACGCCTACTTTCACCGGCCAGCGAATAGACATTTTATGGTTGTCTGGGCACGCCGTTTTGCTACCGACACAAAAAAGAACGTCGTATTAAATCAATCTATGACCTGTCTAGAAGAACAGCTTTTTAGAGCAATTCGAGGAAACGCATATCCTGCGTCCATCTGTGCTACCGAAGGTTTTCGCGAAAGATGGTCAGCAAGTCATTTTGTCTCGTGGAAGATGAAACCGCCATTCAATTCAAGGATTGACCTGGACATATGTTTTGGGAGGTCTTGGTGCTGAGGCACCGCGAATCGCTTAATATTAGTGCTCCAAATGCATTCGCAATACTTCGTATTTTTTGCAAATGCAAAACTGCATTCATAAAGCAACCTTTGCTTAATTGATAAAGTCTGAATTACCTTTCATAATCGTTGTCCGTCCCGTGTCTGTCGGGTGCATGACAACTTATACATAGTTTTAAAGCTCTTTTTGCATTTAAACTGAATGATGAAGCAGCTTTTGTTAGACATGCAGTTAGAACGGCAAGTATATGTAAATAAAATGACTTTAGCTTTGTGGAAATAGGTCGTTAGCGTTAAGACACATTCAATGATGGTATAGGGCGCTCACCGATAGCTCTTACGGAACTTACTCGTTCCGGTGTGCCTTATGGACCCTCTCTCGAGCCCAACCAGCAGCCGCACAGCGGCGCATGATATACGCAGAATGATATCACCCTTGTCTTTGTCGGTAATATCATTTTGCATACATTCAATGTCTGTAATCGACGGATGAAACTTATTAGTGTCTAACAACAAAGCGGGTCAAATTTACAGTCAGCAGTGATCGTTATGCTCCTAGGTCAACAGAGTCCAACACACGCAATTTTAAGAAAAGTAGTGATAAATAAGCCACCCTTTCTGCTTATTAATCGTCATACTAAATTTATTCATATTTAATGCGACTGTAACTCCTGGTACATCAAAAAGGCATTTGCGAGGTCGAATAATGTGGTATGTCTTAGCGACTATCGTAAACATTGAGTCATTGATCGAAATTTCTATAAGATGTCGTAAGTCGGGTACTTTGTTAAGTAGTTGGTTATTGATATTTAATATTTTAAGAATGGATGATCGTGTTCTATCAGCAGCTACAGAATTAAGTGATATGTGTCCATATTATGCAGAATGCAGTCTATGGCACATATGTATTCTTCACAAACTCACCTCATAAGTGATAAAATTGCACACTGAAGAACGCATGCTGCGTATAAATACGAATACGTCTACTATTTACGGGGACCAAAGTAAACTTTTTTTTTAATCTCTAGGAAGTATGCTGGACCCACTTATTGACAAAAACCAATTTCGAGCTATGATGAAGAAATCATCAGAATTTGGACGAAAATATACATACTTGTCTGCCTGGTTTTTGTACCTCGACTACAGATTTCTTTTGTTGTCTTCATATGATTTTTGAGTCGTTTTGCATGTACTAGTGCCACGAAGCGTTCACTTAAACCTGAAAACAAACTTGTTGTGCGAAAGCAGGCCATTAATCATCACAACAACCTATTATCCAAAAGAAAGTGGACTAGTTAAGTAATTTGGAGTACGTGCTTGCGCCTTTGATTGTTTGCGCTCCAAAACGATGAGAAAATCATTCTGAAATATAAAGATTTAAATGCATTTATCAACATCTCAACTCACAAAATAAGGTAACACGACATGCGTTACCTTAGACGTTGAATTTTCTGTTATGAGTGTTCTTCGTCGTATTAAAATATCAGCCGTGGTTATAAAGCTATTGCATAGTGTGAAGATCAAGCTAATTCTCAAAAATTTAAATCCACTGCATTTAAAGCCGTGAAATGAACTGAGTCAAATGATTCTTTCCAGATGCGGCCACCAACAGTCTCCTGATTAAAAGATACTTCAACAGCTATAATCACTTACAGATATCACTGCTGAACTGGATGTGCAGCTAGTGATCTGGATATCGGCAATAAAGAGCCGTATTGAAATATTCAATGTGAAGTATGGGCTGCGGCCACCGCCTGGGTAGTTGCACCGAATAATTTATCTGTGTGTTCTACAAATGTATTCCATAGAATGCACAAATATAGTCGTTATTTCTTTATCTTTTTAGAAACACTTAATTCACGTGCTTTCGTTTAAATTCTCTTTGAGTTTGATGGACAGTATCCAAAACTTTGCATGATTATACGCTCCGCAACTTATTTTGTGTAAGTAACAAACAAATTAAACATTAGGAAACAAAAGTGTTGAGAGTTATATTTCGCCGCCCCCCCCTGTATTTTGCAACCCCACTGATTGGTGGCCTTCTGAAAATTTTGCCCTAAAAATTAGGATTTCATTAAGTAAATGCATTTTACTACGCAGGCAAATAAGTAATAATTTGGAAAATGCAAATCACGGCGATTTGCTTGCTTTTTATTGATATCTTTTCAAGCACTTCTAGAAACGAAATATGGTTTGTAAAGTGTGTGTGAATCGCCATGAAATAAGGGCAATGACCAGAGATACTACGATGACTATTTCTGGCCTAGAGGCTATCGTCAGTCACTCGTATATAACCCCAGGCTTGAAAAACCGAAGAGTGAAACCCGGCAGTCTTGGCGTTTAACTGTTTGTGTCTAAGGTAATATCATTCAATCACGAACACATTGTCCCTTCAGTTGTATGGCGTCTTCGTCTTTGTAGCGAAGTTGTGCGGATAGGGGGCGTTTTTCACTGAATCTCTTCGCATGTAGCTTTCACACCTGGCGAATAGGCCTAAATTAGCTCGACATAACTCTTCTGGATTTTTGTATTTAACTGGTCCTTTACCAATCGCAATTAAGATTAAAATATTTTTAATACTGCAGTTTTCGACTTTATTAATTGTAAGTGCGACATAACAGTACATGATAGGTAGGAAATAGCAAAGCCCAACGCATATTACATTTTCAATCTTGTTTTTATAACTACGTTTGGGTCTTAAAATACAACATGCAAAATTTGTGCTGAAAAAATTAAGTAAATCGGGTAATCCGTTTTATTAAAACCCAGTACTTTTCAATTTCTCAAAACGCGTTCAAGTTGAGAATGCCTTCTGTAATGATAGTACATTTGATTGGTCTACCTTGACTTCTAGATTGCCCTCCTTGTTAGACCTTAGCCAATCTATTTATTCAGGCATGTCATTGGTCAGGTCCAAAAAGAAAAATCCTGATTATTAATCTGGCATGTACTACACCGATTTAGGCTGTAAAACGCATGTTTATCTTTTAATTTTTTAAAATATTATCATTTTTGGGATTTTTTTCCAATAAGCATTTACTTTTTAAAAAATTAGATCAAGGTCTACTTTTGTGAGTTCACTGCTAAATTTTCAGTTTTAATTTTGATTTAGAGCTGAAATGTGATTTTTGTATCCAAAGTTTTGGGCTTCTGCTTCCTACACATGCGGCAGAAATCGGTGCTCTACGCTACAAATGGAATTATTATTGACTCTTCTGTTTTTTAAATTCCAACTTGGCGGAGCCTCTATTTACGACCATTCTGTCCATCCTTTCGGCAGTACAGGGAATAACTTTGACTGCCCAAATATCGAGGGAATATTAAAAGACACTGGGATTCCTCAACTCAACAACTTCTGGCCTGAACAGCAAAAGCCACCAAAAAAACTGTCAGAATGGCTAACAACGTCAAATGCCAAACTCATTTCTCAAGATAGCAAAGCAGAGCCTTGTTTTAACGCCTCTTTCCCGACCGAATTCTCGGTTGAGGAGCACGAGTCCGTTACCCTCCCATGTTACATTCATAACGTGGATTTCGACTCCGTTGTAGTAAGTATTTTTATCTCGTGTTTTCTTGCGAGGTAAAACAAATTGAAATTCCTGGATTACAAATGCTACAACGACTGAACGCACGCAAAAACGTAAATTATAGTGACTAGCCAACATTTTTTGGATTTTAGCTACTTGTAAAAAAAATTTGTTGACTTTTCGAGCAAACTGAGAGAAAATGTGCATTGTTTTAAAGCGAAGCGTTTATTTGCACATGTGTGAATACACACTACATAAATATATCTGAGCGCAAATAACGCTAAAGCATTCCACATAATGGCGTTATTAACATAGAATCCTCAGTACTTGAAGGCTATTGTATTATAATTTACCCCGTTATTTGATTGGTTTGACAATTCTGCCGGCGGGCCAAAAGACCCATTAATTGCGAAAGAAAAAGCCTACGTAGTGTTTGGTTAATTGTCACGCTTTTGTATACGAAAAAAACGGATACATTAAAAATATCAATTTAGATATCTTGGTGGAAAGAAGGCGAAGTACGAGAAATATCCGTCGGTGACAGTACAATTAATTCAAGGTATTCAATTTACAAATCAAGTCCAAACGCTTGGGCGCTGAAAATTACGAATGTCACCGTAAACGACACTGGAGTCTACGTCTGCCAAATCAATCTTAAGGTCCTGCGCGAAAAGTTTTTCAAGTTGATGGTAATCGGTGAGTATGCATGGAAATTCATTTGAAAATACTTCTTCAGGAAAAATATTTTGTTGTTCTTATTCCATATGAAGCCCAATTGGTTTATACTTAAATGTACTCAAAATTGTCAGATAATACACGTTTTTTAGTTATAAATACAGTCTGAAGGAATACCGTTTTTACGGCATTTATGAGATTGTATTAATTATAGCACAAAATAAATCATACAAATATACCTGTTATATTTTAAAGGTTTTGCCGGTCAGGGGCCCGCGATGAGCGTATTTTTAGTTACGTGTAAAATTAACTTATATTCATGGTTCCATGCACTGCGACAACTTTGCGCTATCATTATTTCATAAACAAATTCATGTTGCTCAAGCGTTTCGAAGACCTTCTTCAATTCCATGAATTCCTTTTCCATTTAACTGTTGTAGTTCTTTTGCTGTAAACCTTAAGGTCTGTTTTTGACCTCAGCAACCGAACGCCTCCACTAGGTTGGATGTGTATGCTGTTTTACGTTTTTCAGAATGTCGGTTCCTTATTGTCCCTATGATTGAAAATGACACCAACATTGAGTTTGAGAAATAAGAACAAGCAGATAAATTGACGAAAATGGTCACAGAGATTTGCTTAAGTTGTTGTATAAAATGACCGCTGACTAGTCTACATGAAAACCTTGTAGCTCTTGGTACGTTACGCACATGTCTACTAGGAGAGTCTACTAGCAGCTAGCATCTTTTAGTTCGGCAGAATATTTTTATACCAATGTCTTTTTGTCGGATAACAGTATTTAAGTACTTGATTTTGGCACAGTTGGATCAGAAGCCTTCAGTATAGTAATATGCAGACTGTTTAATTCTGAATGTCATATTTGTTGTGCAGTCGAGGTCAAGTTATTCTTGCATACATATGATTGTTCCTCTTCTGAGAACGCAGGCACGTTAGATTAGCGATAACTGCAATAAATAAAATCAAAAGGACAAGAAATCTACACTGTTTATGACGACACACCCATCAAATTGTAGAAGAAAACGGGGTGACCGTTTTAAGCGCACAATGTTCTGCGGAGACTTAAATACTAGAAATAGCCACGAAGTCTGCATAATTCCAAAGTGTATGGTTTAACTTATTTTTGGCCATTAAACATTAGTTATGGAATGCAGATACCAAGATATCGAAATGCTCATTAAATTTTTAGTTGGTCATATTTTCATTAGTTATTTGCACTCATTAAAGTATTAATAATTTGTTAATTGTGTTCCGTCTCAAGAATAGAACCTGTATTAATTTTGGGGAAATAATTTTGGGTGTAACTTATTTTTACAGAAAATATCCACAAACCTTAACGTTTAAGCGTATGTCAATGTCAATGCGTAATCATCTGAGCAACGCTGATAAAAACAGCGCAGCAAGATGCGAACCGTTGTTTTTCGTTTCATCGCACATTAATTGTTTTGTGCTGAATTTAGCTATTCATATCTAAAATATATGCGTGCGAATAAAGGGGTCAAACTTACATAGCTTAACTGCAACACCGAATAAGTACCCATTTATCATTTGCGCAATGAGCACTATACCGGGTATTCCGATAATAATTGTTTTCCGAAAACTTTGTCCACAGGTCACACATTTCATGATTAATGGTGAGCTGTGAGCTCAAAAATATAAGTCTAAACGCTCCGCCAAGTTAACAATGAAAGACCAGTTACAGCAAATGACGTAACTCACGAAACATTGGTCAAAATTCTGAAATTTATTTCGCCTTAAAATGATTACTGCATTTTGTATATAAGACTGATTATCATTGCACATAAATCTAAAGCATTTTATTTACGTCAGAATGTTGTCTTTCAAGTGAGTCTCATCTCAGACAAATTCAAAAGTTACGCTCAATAAAATATTACTATCAAGTCATAACGATTTTTTCAGAAACTTTCAATAAATTGAAATTTAATTTGCCAAGATACAATGCGAAAATATGTATGTTGGTACATGTGTAGCAGCAACTTAATCTTATTCGGGCCTTTTGACGAGTAGAAAAATAACAATTTGAAAAGGTTTGTTATAATGAAAGTTTAGGACTGCAAAGTGCCCGATTAACTAGCATCATGCGATCGTTAAATGGTGTTTTTAATGCATAGACAGATAAATAAATATCTTTACACATAAAATAAATGGCCGTTGGTGAGAGAACCCTAAATACAGGCTCATAGAGAGGATATATTTAAAATTACTCAGGAAATGGAAGGCTTTGTTAACTCTGTAATATATTTTTTTCAACTAGAAGACTAAGGCAAACATAATATTTTTTACATATGTGTATTAAAGCATATTTAAGGATATTTCTTGTAAAATATATTCGAAGTTATAACGCGTTGAAAATCGACAGGATATTTGCGTTGCATATGCATAAATCGTTTTCGGGTCGTGGCTACTATAGCCGATATTTCAACGGGAGTGAAACTCTTCGGTTATGTGGCATACTAAGCAAACTGGGACCCGAATTAAACAATCCTTTTTATTTTTAAGCACATTTTGCAATATTTGGTTAAATTTTCTCGAAGTATTTTAGTTATCCAATTAACGTTTATGGCTTTTTCTGGCCCAAAGTTTGTTTTATTTGTATGATGGTCTACGCCGAATTTTCAAAATTTTTTTTCGCAAATACTTAAAGGTGTAAAAGCCATCCTACATGTGGCTTGAAACAAGTCGATAAGTGACTGCATTATTCTCTTCAAAGGCTCCCAATGTCTTTACTTTTTTGAGATAGGGCGAGACATCTGATTGCCTAAAATGTTAAGTGCTTCCCACAATGGAAAAAAATATCGACTGGACGCTTACCCACCTAATGTACCCTACATCTGGAATGTGAAAACATTTGTCATCACTTCTTAGCTATAACACAATACTGTATATTATGTTTGTGGCATTTAGAGGACTTCTCCGACGTGGTTATAAATGCATATCTTTAATAAAAATAATTCAAAGTTTAGACCTTATATGATAAAATGATTTTTGAAGCTTTATCCAGAAAAATTTGACGCACTTTCTCAAAGTCAGCTCCTATCTTTAATAGCGCTGCGTTCTCTCCGATTTATTCTGACCTTCTGGAATAGGCATATGTGAAATTTGTGAGATAACTTATTTACTTTATGCTATTTTTGTAGTTCATATTAATTGAAATGCCTAAAAACTTGTTTCCTCCTGCCTTCTAACTCCGCGGCTGTTGTTTCCTCAGAGCAAAAGAAGACTTTAGATCGTGGTCGGACAAATGACGTTCTTGTAAAGGATGAGGCCATAAAACCGACTATACTCAAAAGTGAGTTTGCAGCATTTACCGTCTATAAATGTTTCACTACTGATGCATGATCCGTGCGTTGCCTCACCCACAAATACTTTTCCGTTTCGAGAAACGACCTTGCCAATTTGTATTGACAGTAGCTGTCATCCTGTGTCAAAACGTAAGTTTTTCCCAGATTATGTTACTTCCATATCAATGTTACTCATAACGGAAGAAAAAAGACGCTGTAATCATGAACAAATTGTACGACAACATTACTTCGCTAAATGTAAAAACGGGTCTAATTATCGGTTTAACTCGTTTTATTATTTGCGAAGTATTAATGGGTTTTTACGCAGTTTCAATCCTAGCGCCAATTTTGACTTAAAAGTTGATCTCGTAACAAAACCTTTGCAAGTGCGTTTTCAAATGGACTTAGATAAACTGTCTTACTGTGGTAAATTTTGTTTCATTTCCTTAAACAATAGTCATAGAGTACTACAAAACCTGGCAGAAATGCGGAATTGTTTTTATTTTCTGAATTTCAATTGCTATATTTGTTGACAAATATGGCAGAATAATGCTCTTACGTTCTAAAGAGCGAATACACAAAAGGGTAATGGGTCTTCCAATTTGATGTATATAGGATGCTTTTAACTCAGTTTGGAAACCACATGTTAAAAAGGTTGTTCATAATGGAATTGTTAATAATAATTAATAATAATTATTACATTTGGTTTTACAGCAAGGTCATGTGACTCTGTATCTTTCACACGAGGCTTGAATTAATTGGCTAAATGGTTTTGATTTGACCGAGCATTATGGAGGCAGCCTAATACTTCCCGGGTAATTGAAAACGAACACCATTTCAGCAAATGAATCATTATGGCTGAAACTGTTAACTTTATCGCCGCAAGCCTTTCCGATATTGAGTTGTACATAAGTACTTTTAGACTTTAAAGTAACTTCCATATTCCATTATGAATATGTCAGACATTCCTTAACAATTTCAGAAAAAAATCAATAACCTAATGGATGGCACATGAAATAAACAGCAGCAGGGCATTGAGAAAATATATAATTACTGCAGGCAAATAGTTTAGAATTTTGCAAAGATATCAGTTGCGCAAGGGTTTTATTTAGAAGTGACGCCCAAAGTACATTAACCTTACATTTTCATTTTATTTACACTTTATTTACATTTCATTTACATGCACATTTACACTTAATGTACATTTGAATTACATTAATATAATTGTCTGAAGTTCAAAGCTTGTTACCTGGATTTAAATATAACGTCACGGATTATCTTCGAATCACAAAATGCTAATGAAAAGTGCATGTGGCTAATGAAGACCGGAATGAAGGTCGAGTGCCAGCGGTATGAATAAGTACAGAAGACTGACCAAACACCCGTACAATTTATTTATTATTCTGAACTTTTGGACACGTGCAGGTTTCTATTGTTCGTGATAGCAGCACGACCATAACGTGCGAGAATTATAGGACGTAATAGTCAATCGTCGATCGATGGTGAGAAACGGGGATGAACTGCTCAGAGCTCTGTCATCCGGCTTCAATTATTGCTCGGCCTATTTTATTTCCGGCGTGGGCGACTATCTTGGCGGCTGCGGAGTTAAACTCATGACCCAGTTCGTAGGTGTAGGCAATCATTTGCGATAATCGTCGCCCCATCGCACAGTCAGCTCATGTTCATGCATGCGCTATCCAAGCATGCTTTAGTTTGACTTGTGTATTTGCAGGGACAGCTTGGACACAGGATGCGATAGAGTTACTCAAACGTCTCCTAGGGATTTACTTTGCTATTGATTTTCATAATCCTGTTACGCATGGTATCTCTGGGGTCGTGTGCGATCCCACAAACTAGTCCCCAGCAATGCACTGGGTCACTTCTAAGACGCCCTTTATGGATGGCAGAGCGTGCTATATTCTTGGTGGCTTTTCTGTCTGGGTCTTTAATGACGGAACGCATAATTATCGCACTTTAAATGTTTTCGGCCAGCCCTTCGGCACAAAGTGGTCGTGGAGATAACGGGTCTCGTGTGATGTTTCCCTGGTTCGTTACAGTGAGTTTGAATCCGCTTCTAGCGCCTTTCACATAGATTCATTTATGGATCACTAAATGGTTGTTGTGGAACCTGAGAGGTTGAGCGTTAGTCGTTGCCTTCTAAAAAAGCGTCGTTTCAAGTTCATTGCTAAGATTTCATCTGACGAGCACATCGTGAAGGGGCAGTTACTGCCCATGTCCTTCTTCCCTCGTGAATTTTATATTAGAAGCGTTTGCTTTGAGCAAATTGTGGAAATTCTGTTGTTAAGTTTGACGGTGGACTCATGTAAAAGTTCTAAAGCTCAGAGCTACAAGCAAACTGTTTTGGTGCTCGACCGGACTTCTCCCTTTTTTATATTGTACTTCAGCATATACGGACGTTTAGCTCCATACAGTGAAAAGGCCTACTATGAAGGCTTTTAATATTTATGCTTGTATCTTCCTAAACGTTTCTCAAAAGAGCACGGAGGTATCATATTTACAAAAATTGATAACTTACAAATAAAATGGGATAAGTAAAATCACGTAGTTTTCAAACTATATTTCCCAGATTCGGCTAAATTAATAAATAACAGTGCATACGTCATCTTTCTTAAAGGTTGTTTTGTGCGGTTTCGTTATGGGAATGGATGAATATGTTCGAATTTATCCTAGTTGATATTTTTCTATTTTTGTTAACCGACCTAAGAGGGATCTGCAAATGTCAAATCAAATATTATATGTTTTATATTAAGTGTTGGGTTCACCGATAACTTAAGCAGTTTTATTGCAGTGTTGCTCATTAAGACAAATAACTAAAGGATTTATAAATATTCGTATCCGAATTGATTAAAGGAAATAGCCTGGTCTTTAGAGCATTGCCACAAAATATCGTAGCCTTAATTTTTAAGGGTTGATTTTTATTTGGGGTCGCATATTCTCCTGACAACCATTTGATAACATCTGAGCAGGAGTAAAAATTAGGTAATTAAATATCAAAAAACCGTTTCTGGAATTCTAACCTACGTTTCAACATCAGGATAAATATGTGCAATTCAAAAGTCGTTTCTTTGGAGTTAATGATTCTGGCCTTCAAAATAATTTCTGACCTTTTGCGTTGAACTGAACATAACTCAGTTTGAGACGATAATAATAATTAAAGTAACAGAAATGACGACCCCCGTTCCATATCCCAAAGAACGGTCAAGTATTTAAGAATCTGGGATAGCCACCAGGAAAAAGAGAAAAAGACACAAACAGCATTTTTTCGAAGGAAGATTAGTTACTATGTCGCAAATTGCAGCAGTTAAAAGGGTTTCGCAGTTGCGTATTTTAAGTTGCAAATACGAGTTTTTTCGAAAGAAATAAGTTCTTTGGAAAATAGAAACAATTTTATTTCACATTTTTGACTTTGGTTCCCAAAGTCGTCCTCAGACTTAAAGTAAGTGTGCAAAACAGTTAACATTTTAACATGCCTAAAATTAATTTTGTCCTGTCATTAATGCTGGCGTAATGTTCTGATTAGTCAATACCTTTACCACTTTTCCTTAGGGCTGTTGTACACCGCATCCAATTCTACGTGTCCATTGATGCATGCGTTATCAGAATAGATGGCCTCTAAAACTTCACGGCTTTTCTTAAATGAGCAGAGACCTACAATACGTGTCCTGTCCCAGGCGAATTTGTCTCCAGTTTCCAGCGTATGCATGGCAACTTGGGACAAGTGGTCTCGCGATCTTACGGCCAGTTGACATTCGTTTATTCGTGTAGGGGCCGATTTCCCAGTTTAACGATAGTAAACCGCATTACAAGTGTTGCATGGTATCCTATAGACGACTTCCTTCTTATTTAAACAGCCAACCCTATCCTTAGGGTGTACAAGCTAGTTACGAAATGTCGTCGTCGGCTTGTGTGCCACATGTTTTTGATGCTTCCTTATATGTCTTTCAACTAGTTCGGACGCATTCTTAATGTATGGAAGTGTTCGCCAGTTTTTCATTTTGGGCTTCTGATCGGAACAATCTAGTTCCTTGTCCTTTTCTTTTAACTCCTGTCGTACCATACATTGGTGTACAAAATATGCAGAATACCCAGTATGGAAAAACAGGTTAGGCAAATAATTCAGTTTTATTCGATAGGTTTCGTTGTCAGAACAGTGAGTTCTTGATCGCTTCAGGAGGCTGTTCAGGGCACTCCATTTGTGAGAAATCCGGTGATTTCTCTCGCATACAGTACAGTATAATTTACAACACATTACTTTATAGTATACTGTGCACTAATGTACAGTATACAGTACCACGTGAGCCTAGTTATAGGCAACGGTGCTTCAGTTGATTTTTATCCAATTTGTTTACTTATATTTATATTTATTTATATTTGTGCGTATGCCAATGGGGGACGATCGGCTTGACAATTACGACACAAACTATACCCTTGATCCCATTGTAACGCCAATTGCTCTCAACATACATTATAATTACTGGTTTTTATTTTTGCGGATCAGATGAAGCTTACATTAAATTGATGCCTTCATTGTCACATAAACGCCTTATTCATTTACTTTAGGAAGCAAACACTTTGGTAAATTATTCTAGCAGTCAGACAGTTTTCTTGGCTTATCGACAAAAACAGTTTGGTAATTACGTCTCGCTCTTTAAATAAAATATCCTAAACCGCGAGTATTCGACAAGGTTTAAGACTATTGTGCAATGAACGTAATCACACACATACTTTTACGACTGGATTGTATTCAAATGTTTGTATTCCAGTGATATTACCTATTTTAAAACGAAATAGTCAATAACTGCCTTGCTCAGAGTAAATGAGAACTTGATTGAAGTTAGTGCTTCGAGAGCCGTGGCACATCAATAAAACCTATCCTCTAATGCTTTACAAGAAGACGTGAGTTTAAACTACTCACAGTACAAAACAGATATTCAGTAAAAGTGTTATTGAACAGTGTCTTAATATATCGTGGGCTTTCTATAGGTGTACACAATGTTTCAGTATTAAAACATATTATGTTTGCAAAAATATACAATACCGAAAACGCTTATATAAAGAACTTGGTCTTTTGCCGAAAGTCTTCCATATAAATAGCACATAAAAATACAGTGCGTTATTATTTGCATATGAAAGGAACTTTTACGCAACAAAATTTGAGTTTTCTCCCTGGTTATGGTAGAGGCCGTTGAATATTGAGAAGCTAAAGTGTCTGCAGACCTTTTATTATCGGTCATCGGCTTAGAACCGAAAATGTAGACGTTAAACAGGCGTAAACGTGTCACGAAATAATGTGCCTAAGCAGATATTTAAAGTTTTTCCAGCCGTCATTTGGTGGTGAGAAATTTATATTTCGTCGTTAACTTCTGCACCACATTCGTAGTCTAGCCTAAAAATAAACGCCAGCAGTGGAGAAAATGGATACTTGCAGCAATTACCCGCGATAACAATTGTGCCAAATATAAAAAATTGCTTTCTCATGTCTTTTAATTCGGAAGTACTTATCGCTAAATTTCACGGATGAGCGCTGATGTGACTCAATTTCTCAGAGGAAACACAGGGAGAAAATGAGTACAAGGTCCTTGTTCATGGAGTTTGCATAGTGCTAAAGCAACTTCGTATTGATGCAGATAAAGTGGTCTTCGATGGTTACTAACGGATTGTTCTTTTCAGGGTAATCCAAATCAGTACTCCTTCTAGGATAAATATGCAAGCTAATTTCCCAGGACTAATGAATATCTTTTAAAGGGCGTTGATAAAATTTCGTCCTTTGAGTACTGCCAATGGATATATTCCGTATAAAAGTCGACCTAGTGGAAATGATTAGAAAGCGGCCTATTGTTGACCACTTTAAGTTCTCAGAACACGGGTTGGCCAGTGCTTTTTAGTTGACAACCCGTATTTGAGTTTAGCATACTTTTCAATTTTTTTATGAACATAATTGGTCATACATAACATAAAACAGAATACAATTTCAATTATAATCTTTCATTAGATGGAAATGCCTAGAACCCTCTCTGGCCTGGCAAATAAAATATAAAATGGATTAAATAAGTTAGGTGTAGAAGGCAGCGACTACCCAAATATTTGGCTACTGCAACTTATGGATGTCAGGCATCCTTAAAGGCAATTACTACTAGAAATTATGTTCAGAAAAACCGGTTTTCACTGGATCTTTCTTGTTTGCTGCTAGGCTAAATAGAGTTTTCTAAAATGGGAACAACGTAGACCAATAATGCAACCCATAGAGCAAATTCTGTCAGAATTTTCTTGTTGTTGACAATAGTTTATTGTTGTTCGTTAGTATTTTTAAAGAAACCCAAAATTCCGAGGGCATCGAGACCTTAAAAGTCGTTAATTACAGGCTACTATCGGTAGTTGACTTTGCATCCTTCGTTTACTTAGTCCGAAAATGCACTAGAATGATATTTAATGACACGAAGGTTTGGGTTGTTAATCGGTTTCCTGAAAGACGGCATTAAATATCAAGCACCATGTCTCTGACTTATGGCCCATTAGGGTACATGGCATTTTTACAGTAGTTGGTGAAATAAGTGAACATATAGGTTGCTAGTCGACCTTATTTAAGTAAACATTTTTTACGAAAACAGCCTATTATTTGCATCTCTGACAATAATATCTTCCGCCTTTTCTTCAGGTTATTAGAACCCGGAAAGGACAGCCTTCCTCAGAATGTCCAAAATATGCATTTTAGTTTTGCACAAAACGTCTAAAATAGATGGCTGTCTTTTTTCGTAACTAGCAGTGCATAGTGAGTTTTAGGACACACACTGCAATATGCAGTGATGCACTTTTTTGTTTCTGTCATTTATCCATAACAGGCCGCCGCATACTTGTAAACTTTGAGTTATGTATTTGTATTGGGAGCCAATGCTTTTCAGTAACATTCCTATATTTGAACCTTTGATGTAAACTCTAAAATGCCCTTCCGGTTTATTATAGATTTCTCATCATCTCTATATAACTTTGACGTACAATGTTTTGACAACTGCATTCTGACCTTATGTTTAACAATTCATCTATTCTGCCAATAGTCATTACCCCATATCTTGCATTTGAGACATCGATTGACTTTTCAATTTTCCATATCCCAAAGGACAAACTTTTTGTCTAACTCCCTCTATGCTGATGGCAAGATAACTTGTAATATGTGGGTTTTTAAAATGTAAACCACCAGGCGCTTGAGCAAGTTTGCCTACATGTAACAAACCGCTCGGGGAGTATGACCTTAAACCACCGTCTTTTTTATTTTAGTATTTGCGCCTGTAATTAGGTTGTGTTTGCGGTGCTGACCCCTATAAACTCTCCATTGGCTCTTCGCTATCATATCTATATGTTTATATTTCAGACGGATATTTGTTTTAGTCCTGTTGTTTGAGTTTTTGATTAGCTCGCTGGTTTCCGTCTGGACGCTTGATATGTTATCATGCGCAGTAAAGTTCTCTCACGTAGCTGATAACTTGGACTGGCTCCTGATCTCCTGATTTTTTAGAGTAATCCTCGAAGACCTAATCAGAGGAGAAAAGGGAGAGTATAGGAAGCAAATGACGTGTAGAGTTTTTACGCAGACACTAGATTGTGAGTGGCATATTGCGTCCGGCTAAGCAGGTACGGAGCATTCGTCGCAGTTGCGTTTTATTGGCGCACTGGTTGCTTGACTTGTCATGTCAGCGTGCTGATTGAAAAGCCTTCTTTTCCGACATCTGTGTCCAGCTGTTGTCGTCTTTGTAATCTCGTTCGTTAATAGGTTTTTCTAAAGCAATGTTTACGGCCGAGCTTCCCGATCATTCGGATTTTGTTGCTTTTATTTATTAAAATCGATAGGGAATGCCTGATCCAAAGAACTTGCAACTGATGTGGTGGTCAAATCTTACCAGACTTTGGCCACGTTGACCCCAAAACGTACGACCCGGTCACGTGAATTATACCTTAAGGACCGACTAGTTTCTCTTAGCAGTGTCAATGCGTTTTCGCCCAGTGATTTCAGTAAGATTCCTCTTTTTTAGCGTTTTTTCAATAAGTTTGCAGCCTCGGACAATGTACTGTTGGTGGAAGCTTATTTTAGAATATCCACGCAGCACAAATGAGCCCGATAATTAACTCAATGCTTTTCAGAGATGCAAACAAGGGTTAATCTGGCCAGTTTTTGTTCTTTTTAATATGGAAATATAAAATAGTATGTTTTCATACTGCAACACGTAGTTGAAATATAAACCTATCAATTGCTTAACTTAATGGCACACAGTACATTTAAACTTTTGCAGTTTACGGATAACATAATAGTTGGATTCAAAGCTCGGTTTCCGGCAAAAAATGTGTTATTTCACTTTTTGCGCGGCCAGGTGAAAGGGAGCAAGTATACCAGAACTCCGTAGTCCTGCAAAATACTAAAACATGGAAGTTAAATGTTTATGCGAAAAAAGCTAATCCGACCGATTCGTCGATAAAAATTCGAATGGCAGGATTGCAAGTATCGTGTTGAATATTTGTAAATAACTGCACTTTACTGAAAATGCTTTTAGAACCTGCAACAACCACCTCACAATGGAAGCCATTTCTAACGACGTTTGAATACCACAAGAAGAGACGAACTTACTCGTCCGCAACAAGTGGTTCCTTCAAACGGAAGCTCACATACAATGGCCTGCTTCTTTTACCGGTACTGATCGCAACACTTGGCGCTTGCCGGATAACATCATGTGTTTTTCTATTACCATCAATTTTAACTGCGTTTCGTTGACTGGCAAGACCGCTCACAATTCTTCCGTGCAATATTCTTTTGGTATTCTCCGCTAAGGATTTTTATAAATTATTTTCAAAACTCCAAACTTATTCTTTAACATTAAAATGATGTAACGGAGGGGTACACTTACTGCGTTTCATAAGCAAACAACTTTCCATCCATAAAAGGAACTTTTTTCTGGCCACACATTGCAAAACTTTAGAAGGAGCCGTTATCCAATGAGAGCAAGAAAATAAAAGTAGCGTTGGGAAGGTTAGCAGCAAGTGACTGTGACCAATCTTACAGCATAGGTTACATGCAATCCTCTGTGATACGATTTGTATAAATTTATTAGAAAAAAAAAGAGAAACTGTAAACAATGTCAACCGTAGTTCAGCAGACAGCATAAGAAAGATAGGCTGTGAACGTCCGATGGAAATAGGCGGAATCACGCACAACATTGCATGATGAAAGTTTATAAAGCACAAAATCAGTTAATGAAATTAATCTCTTTCGTAAAGTATTTACGTAACTCAAGGTGACTTTGCGTTGGAAATATTAAATGTAATGCAAAATATACTATCTGATATTTCTATTTAAGATATACAACCTCGAAGGAAGGTTGCTTAGGTTAATTTGTGCATTTTTAAAGAATGAATGATGGCCACGTATGAGCAAGGACCTTGAAAATTTAAGAAAACAAGTGACAAGCAATTATTTTTCGCGGAGAATTGAAGTGATTTTTTACAAAAGCAAATATAAAAAGAGACTTGGATTGCCCGACAAACCCAAAATTTATTATTGGATTCTACATACTCCTTTAACCTTCTCCCTGTCGCAATAAAACCTAAAAGTTGGCCCAACTGTAAACTAATTTCTCCAACTTTTACAGACAAAAGAGAGGCAAAAGCTTAGCTCAAAAGCGGAGAGGTGATCTCTGTTTGGGTTTGACAAAGGGTGGCTCGATTAGTGAAACGAAACCTTTCCGACTGAATCCCGAGTATAGAATAAGGAAGCAGCAGCAGATAAGGACAGTGAATGTACGAAAGCTGTAGTCTTTATATCATACAGTTTTAGGACACTGTATCCTCACCATAATCGAGGAGCAGGTGGTGTAGCGACTACCAGCTTGTCCAAACATGAGTTGTAAGTCGCTGCGAGTTCACCACCGACTGATAATTTTTTCCAAGGGAACTGGGGTTGTAATAAGTGCACAATTGCTTGCTGCATATGTTACTAATTACTCCTTTAAGACAACCTGTTGGCATTTAAATGAGTTGAGTAAATGAGTTCGCTTTTTAAGACAAGCCTTCCGCGTTTTACGCGGTAGTTACATCTCATGGGGGTGGGTTTTTTAAATGTATGGTCGATTCCACGACGATTGGAGTCGGAGCCACTATTGTCTGTTGCTTGTGCGCGTTTAACCAACCGTGTTAAGATTAATCTTCCCGTTATTTAATATATTTGTCTTGCCAGCAAATACATCAGATCTCGTAAATGACTCTAGACGTTTATTGCCATGGCAGGGGTTCTTCAGTCCCGGTATATGACGCCTGAAATTTGCCTCCTGTCTTTATGTAACGCAAACACCGAGCGGCTTAAGAGGGCGGCTGACAATTTCCGAGACGTGTTTGACGTACGCGAGAACTTGCCAAAATGTATGTGCGGTAGATTGGGATCGTTCTTCTAATTTTTTTGTGCACCGGTACTTGCTCAATACGCTGCTTAGCACATGCACTGCATCCGCCATTTTCCTGATCAGTTTGTTTTTTACTCCACCAGTGCGTACTGAAAAATACTTGTTTCTTGGGCTTGTCTGCAGGAGATTAAATAAGATATATGAGGCAATGACGTTCACTTAATTAACTTCGAAGGATGTAGTTAATTAGATCAAAAAGGTGCAGTGTTTATTTCAGATGCCTCGAACAGCAATGTGAATTAGCTATGTGAGGATTGGCAGAAAACATCTGTCAAACGTATGGTCAGTGTTGTTTCCAGCAATAGAACGTCTTAGCTTTCAGTCGTAAAAATTTTCAGTTGGCCTTACAAGAGAACTTTAGTTAAATTTCCATCGCCTTATGCAAGTATACGTTTGATTTATCCGTTAAAATACCTCGAGCGAATCAACATTCAATGATTCACTAGATAATTATTTTCCTAACATCAAGGTCAGAAAAGGCCTTTCGTTATTTAGGAGATTGTAAGTTTAACCATTTAGCTTCCCGTGTTCATTTTAGTCTTTAAAGCCGATATTGGGCACTTGTCAGAATTAAACGGTTTTGAGATGAACGGTAGTCAGTCAATCAGAAGTTTTTGCATATACAGTAGGTTACGAAACTCATAAAATTTGTCGAAATTTACGAATGATTGCCAATCACTCTCAAACCGACACCAATGCGTAGACCAAATATCTAGGTTAATAAAGCGCAACTTGGCAAGATGCGGTTATGTAGCCGCACACGAGGTAAGCAAACCCTAGCCACCTATAATACGACCGGTGGTAATAGGGTTTTTACAGGTGGGGACGTGGAAAGCACATGTGACGAGGTCAAGTAATTGTATGCAAAAGAAAAGCTGTTGGAAATACACAGTTGTACTTTGGATGGTAAGGAAATACTCGTCCTAACTCCTAACCATGACGTCCTAATCCTAAGCTGTAACTCCTAAATCTAACCCCAACCCTATTTGTAACCCTTAACCGCAGCCCTATACCCTAACACCAAGGCATCTAACGCAAAAGTTAGAATGAGACGACGAGCCGTATGTCAAGAAGGACCACAGGCATTGGGCCGGAAAATGTAGACACGACAACGAGGAAACAAGATAGCCAAGAAAACACACACCGAATAGCGCAGCAATACCATACCAACGTAAACACACCAACTCAAAATAGTTAAGTATGTCAACAGCATTATGTTCGTCAGATGTATGGAATAAACTAATCTTACCTACATTTTTAAAGGAATCAAATACAAAAAAGAAATATTAATAACAATGTTGCATCGTTCGAAGTGCCGATTTTTAGAAAAGCGCAAAATCTTGAAGGCGTCAAAAAATGGCTGTAATTGTATAAATTTCCAAGTTCGATGTACAGAATGTCTTCTCATGCATAAAACTTTGTAACGGTGGAGGCATAAATAAGATTACATTTACAAATAGCGTAAAAATTACATTTAAACGTGTTCTAGGTATTTGTGTAATTTCAGGCACGATGGCTTGTTAACAGCCTACAGCGTCAGTATAGATTTGTGGTGAGGTACCGCACTAATTTACTTTTGACAATTTAGTCCCATTTTCTCTGACCGGATTTCTCCTTTGGATGTGACGCGGAACGACACACCTGTACAACCCGCCTTGATGGTCTGAGTTGCTATCGTGCTTTGTTGTCAGGTTAGTAAAAATTCAGAATCTCTTTATTATATACTGCCCAATTTTACTTGCTGCCTTTCAGTCTAGGGGCTCGTGAGATATAACTCGTTAGTTCGTGAGAACATTACAATCCTCTTCAGATTCCAAAACAATTTTCCGAGGATTCGTCGTATTTCTTACACTTTTGAGTTGATTGAAATGCAATTCAATAGGAAAAACAGGATTTTGTTTAAGTTGACTGGTGGGGACTATAAGTGTTCGCAAGGGCCCATATCGTCATGCGAGTCAGGGACTAACAAATTGAAACCGGGGTGATTGTAAACATCCCATTTTGTGTTTTTAAAGAAAATTGTTCATCCGTGAAATTAATCTGCAATTTTCGTTCGTTTTGAACTGCGCTGAGTTCCAGATCGGCTTTGAGATATAGTTGAATACTCCACAATTTTCAGTGCTTTCATTTGATTGTCTTGAAGAAACCTACTACTTAATGACCCTTGTCGAAGTAACGAGTGTTTTTGCGTTCTTCCTCATGAAGAAGGTCGTTTGGGTGACATTTGAAGACTCACTCAAACATGAAACCTCATCGTCAAATAAATGAACATCCACACCGAAGGCCAGCAACAAATAGGCCTTCGATCAGTAAACAAGTTTTTTCTAGAAAGTTGTCCCTGTAAGGAGTGCTTTAATACTGCACTCCGTTGACGGATCTCTGTGTATTTTGCACATGTGCACGCTGAGACCACGAAAACATCTGATTCTTTTGGCCGTTTCATTCACGATCTTAAACAATACTATTACCTCCTAATATGCCTTTTTCTTAATATTGCGGCTATTTGCATTATTTTGCCCACTTAAGACTCCATTCTACGATGATGAATGCACTGCGAATTGTCAAAATAAATACTGATATTCTTCTAAAACTGCCAATGACTTGTTCGTCCCATTTCCAAATTATGTATGTGCTGAGGCTACATTACACGGAAAGTAGTGTTCCATATGTCCCAAGCTTAAAATGACTGTTTGAGTGGTAGTCATTTCTGTGGCAACAAATACAATTTCGCAAACTGTATGACACGTTTTGACCCACTTAAACGGAGGACTGCCTGGGGAACTGCACTTCAGTCTACCAACTCGCACAGATATGTTAATATGGCTTCTAAAAGTCGATAAAACGTCTGGTTCTCTTAAAATAACCTTTTTGTTAACAAGTTGATTCACGCGGTTTTACATCAGACAAAAAATATAATTCCTATTCCGGGAAGCTCCATTTAGTGAAATTCTCAAGTGAACATTACTCTCAGGTCAATGGAAAACACGCTTAGGTGCGCGACCGAAGTTCAGGGCAGGTGTTAGCATGCAAAATTTCCCGAATATATCGCGACGTCAATTTGCGCTCAAATTTTCTAACACTTTGCTTAATAAATTTACGTGGACACATTCTCTAAATGAGAAAGGGCATTTCCTTGAAGAGGTTAGAGGAACAAGCATAATAGGAGACGTTTGAGATGTTCAGAAATTCTTCATTAGTTTCTGTTATCAGCTTTCATGCGATAGGCCACATACTGTCTGCTTCGGTTGTCTATATTTGAACCACTGGAATCTTAAACAAGTTTAAATAGGGATGGCATGTGTTGGCGCTTACGAGCTGT